TGGGCAGCTGCGGTCCCTATTGCTTCCCCAAGAGCACAAAACAATGCTGTGATCAACACCAACTCCTGGACACATCTTCCTTTATCCAGTTTCTTAGTGATTCTTCCTCGCGTGAAGTAATCCTAGTGCAGATCGCAACCCATATAAAACGAAGGAATGCCAGAATACTATGCAGAAACTTGGCCCCATGATTTTCCCCGTTTTCTTCATAATCCAGAAAGGTATAACAACCAAGCACCAGTTGTTCCGCTTGCTTGCTCGTTTCCTTAACGAGAAAAACTACGAAGATCGCGAACACCTCAAAACAGACATCCACTGATTCTTGACGTCGAAGGTTGCTTACTTCTGTGAGAGAGGTATCCTTTCACTCGCGGATAGATAGAGGACACCTGTGGACAGCTGTGTCATCAGCCATTCTAGCCTGAATAAGCTGATCTGTAGGGTCTAACGCTTTTGTGTTATGTCCTAGACTACAATGAATGGTTTGTCCCACGGAGTGTGAAGACTTAATAACTGGCGATCAAGGAGCCCAAGAATGGCTAAACTCAGCCGATGAGAATCCTTCGAAGAGATGCTTTTACAACAAGTAAAGCAAACACAATCGCAACTGAAACAACAGAGAAAGCAAGCACAGCCGCAAATGGGCGCAGGAAGTGTGAATTTGGTGAGGAAGTAACACTTCATGACTCAGATTCGGATGGTATTGAATGCTTGCTCTGGATATTCGGGCTATAGCAAACCAGAAGTAGAATACCGGCAACGATTCGTTAAATAATACTTGGAAATACAAGGAAGGTTAGAAAATTTCTTTGTGAGTTTTGAAAGGAATGCAAAAGCTTTCTGTGTCTCAGAAGAGATTTTGAGACAATCGCCGACATCCGTTGATTTTTAGAACACTACGCAAGGAAATGTAGAAATAAGTCGTGGTTCTGCAAGAAGTGCAAGACAAGAGGCAAGCAAGAGAAATTCTGCAACCTTGTGAGTCAGAAAAGCAGCTGAGCGTACCAAGACTTCAAGAAGAAAGTACCAAGGCAACGACAAAAAACAACATAACAAGAGCGATTTCAAGAGACGTGTCTTTTCACAATGATTGCTGAAGCTTCTGCAAGTGTTAACGCGACGCGGATATACATCAAGGCATCTGTGAACGAGTGCATACAAAACAACGAAGATATACTGCATCGGATAGAAATGGTGATAGGTTAGTAAACATAGCTCCAGTGTGGAAGAAGAGCTAAAGAAAAAGTAAATATCCTGTAGTATTCAGTGGAAGGTCTTTATGAAAGAAATAGCCGATCTTACACATCCCCTAAATAACCGTCCCATACTCTGTTGCAGACCCCGTTGCCTACGCTGCCACAGAATCCGTCAAAATGGAATTAAACAGAGTTCAAGAAATGGGTGCTATAAGTCGATGCGCCATAGCAAATGGGCTGTTCCAATCGTATATGTCAAGAAACTATGAAAAATTAGAATGTGCCTGACTTTTCAACTGCACTCAACTAAGCATAACAGTTCCTAGATTATCTCCTCCCCACTCTCGAAGAGGCCTTACCGAGAAAGGTATTGACTTCCCATAAAATTTTGAATTGAGACCTATATATTTCGGTAGGGTTTCGAACAGTGATTACAAATTTAAAAACAAAAACTGCAAAGATGACCTACCAAGGAAGTTGTGAGCAGTCAAAGTTGGGTGGATGTAAAGCTTCACATAGGAACCACGCTAGCGTCCGGACATGCAGGGTCGCAATGGAGTAGTGGCTCAAAGTTATCACTCCAACGGGAAGAGAACTTGTGAACTCCCGGTTCGAGAGCGAGAGCACTACCACTTTTACACAGTGCTCTGAAGCCCGGAAGCTGGTACAGTTCATATGTAACGCTTTACCTCCAGCCAACTTTGACTGCTCACAACTTCCTTGGCAGGTTCATTTTGCAGTTTTAGTTTCCATATTTGTAATCAGCGTTCTATCGATATATCTGGGTCTCAATTCAAAGTTCCATGGGAAGTTGAATGCCTGCCCTGGTTAGCATCACTAGATGGAGGATCCGTAGTTTCCCTTGTAGATCTATCTGATGCCTATCTTCAGACAGAACTGTCTGAAGAATCTAAGAAGATGGGCGTGATTAACGCACATAAAATATTGTTGCTGTACATTCGCCTGCCTTGTGGAATCAAGACAGCGTCTGGAGTTTTCAACAAACTATGAAGAAAATGTAAGCAGGAAGGGAGTTACGAAATGTTTAGATGGTTTTCTGGTAAGCCGGCAACTGAAGGAACAATGGAAATATTCAATCGTTGTTCAAAATACAGTAAATAGATTCAAATTACGCATGGGCAAATGGTCGTTCGCAAAAATTCGCTATCTTGGACTCGTCGGCAAGAATTGTAGGAGGCCGAATCATCAGAAAATTGGAGCGATCGAGAAGCCGAGAGATGTTAAGTAGCTACGCGGCTAGTAGCGCATTTCCACGAATGCCGGGGTAAAAACCCAACGTTTGTGCCGTCCATGAACGGCACCTTACGTGGACCCTTATCTGCTATGCAGAAGAAAGACGTAGAGTGGAAATGGACGTAGGCGCAACAAGGTGCATTTGAGAATTTGAAAACAGTTCAGTGACTTTATTCAGCTCAATCACTGCGATCTCAAAGAAAAGATCGTTATAGCCTGCAGAGGCATGCGAGTACGGGGATATGCGAATCTCGCACAAATACGCTGATGGTTTGAAAAACGATAGCCCACGCCCCGCTTTCGCTTTTAGATGCGGGAGGAATCTTTACAAACTGAGAAAGAAGTATTGGATTGCTATATGAGCTGAAGAAGTATCAGAGCAGCTGAGGAACTGCATAAGAGAATTGCCTGTAATTCATCAAGACGTCAAGCCCTAGATCTAGTACTAAGAAAAGACAAGTGAATATGAGAGTGAAAATGGCTCAAGAATCATCAAGTTGCCGTCATTTTATGCAAGAAAAGCGACTTCATCGCTAGTCAGGATGCCTCATGACAGAAGAAAGAGTCATTCTACCAATGCGCTGCAGAACAGAATGCCAAAAGAACGACATGGTGACCACCCTGGCAGAGTCGCGAGTACGGTGGTCATTCCACCACTTTCGGCCACTCGCCAAATGCGGTGACCACGACCTGGTAATAACGCCCATCCATTGGCCTAGCAGAATCTATACGAAATTTTTTTAGCATGCATGCGTAGCAGCAGGCCAAGCTTCCAATGTGGCTTTGATAGGCTTTTCATGTCTCTTGATATCTGGAACAGTTTTGTACGACGGTTTTACAATTCTTGTCGATGCTAGGATTTGCAAGAAGATGTGTGATGAAGAAGTTGTACACATAACAACAGCAGCTTATCGTTCTCAATCAAACAGTTGAACAGAAAGCTTCGTCGATACACTGAAACGAGGTAGAAGCAAGCGCTATGGAAAACTTCAGGTACTGCTCTTCCTAGTGGCTTTTTTAGCTAGCGACTGCGCCGGAGTGAAGTGATAATCGTTTCATGTTGCAATTGGCTGACCTAAGACAGGGCTTGCTCTGCCGTCATAAGACATTGTTTTGCAGACTTACCCATCAGTAAATTAGAAGTATCAACCAATTCAGAGGGAAGAAAGACCGCTAGAAAATACGTTGAATACTCCTCTGCAATATCTTCTCTCCAATGAATTTCGGTGATGAGGCCTCTTCCCTTGTTTAGTGGCGAGCTTTCGCTGGAGTAACAAGCTTCGTAA